TTTTGTACTGAGCAATAGGGGTTTACAGATTGTTCAGTGTCTATGTCTATGTAAGAAAATTTGGTGACTGTGACAGTTTCTCAAAGAAGTAAACATAAAGTAAGCATGCTTTATTCTGGGAATGTTAATTTCACCGTTCAGCTTGTATGTTGCATTCAGCCGAATGTTAGGTGGCTGACACGGATGATCTCCGAAGTGATTTCCCACAGATCTACCCTCATTTCTACCACTTTGTCTGTTGATAGTCGCTGAAACCACTTAGCAGCAGTACTCTTCCCTTGATGTGACTTTTGCAAAGATGGTGGCACAGTGAATTACTGAGTTGGGTTTGGTGGCAGCTATCAATAAAACTCAAATGACAGAGCCTTAATTAAGGAAGTTCACTTCTCTCTCCCATTAATGCCTGGCTATAGGCATTCCATGGCTCTACTGGCAGGCAGCTCTGCTACTTAAAGTGCTCCAGGGCCCAGGCTTCTATCCAGGTTTTCCTTCATCCATGGTCTCCATTTCTCAAGCCATGCCAGTACGGCCCCATGCAGACACTGGGAATGAGGAAATGGAGAAGGGCATGTTCCCATCATTTACAGACACTTCCTGGTGCTTCATCCAGTATTCTGCTCACATCCCACCAGCCAGAACTTAGTCACAGGGCTATGCCTATCTGTAAGGGAAACTGAGAGCTACACTCTTTACTGTGTACAGTGATGTGCCCAGGAAGAAGGGAGACCAGTTAGTTACTTGGGGACAAATAGCAGACTTTGCCATCCTGTGTCTAGGGAGCTGTGAGTCAACCTGTAAAATAAGACACGATGTAAAATGCACTTAAATGTTCATTTAAGTATTTCAGAGACATCTCCAATTGCTTGGTTTCTTAAAACACAGTATTTAATTAATTATCACAAAAGAAGTTCTTTTATTTCAATCAGTGAATTAGAAGTTCAGGCGAAGAAGATATAATTTTAATGATCTGCTTGGCTTCCTAAACCCATATTTGTTAAACTCCCATAGCAGATTCCCCAAAGGATCAGGTGCATGCCTGATTGAGGATTGATTTCAATCTGAGTTGGAAGAAATTTAAGAAAATCTGGTTCTATGGTGTGGATTCTCAGTATTTGGTCACATGCTGTGAACTTCCTTTACTTAATTCTAAACTTTGACATTTTTTTTTAAACAAGCCCTTGCCTTAAACTTCATTAAATGGGTCCTCTAGGGCCAAAGTCCACCATTCCTGTGGGGGACAATGCCCTGAGTCTTTCTCTGAGGTCCTGTCAGCATCTGCCCCTGATGTCTACCACATCCAGCTTTATGTCCACTGGAGTCCCCAGTACTGTGTCCTTGGTACTGAGACACTCACCACCGAACCCTTATGCCACTCTGGGCTTCTTCTGGGCACTGCCTGGAGCTTTCTGGACCACTTGTCCCTCTGGGATGGTCTTTATCCTGTGAGTTTCTGCCTCCCTATTCCAGCCTCTTCAGAAAGCCTCTATCTTCATATGCCTAATGATCCAG